GGTTAAGTACTGAAGAACAATTATCATGCWATTCTCATCATTCATCATTCATTATCATCATCATCATCAAATAGTAAAAATGGGAACCAATTCCATCGTAGAATGTCCTTTAGAGCTCTTATTCAATTTACAGAAAAACAAAAAAACAAATYCAGTTGCAGCTAAATCCATAGTTTAATCAGCTGAACTACGATAACTGCCCTGAATCAATACTAACATAAGTTGATAAAGAACTTGAGGTTTTACTAAGTGCCCGACATTATTATTAGTGAAGGAACTGCTATCAGGTTATCAATGCATCATGGGGTATGACATCAATGCATGGTATTTTTCGCATGCAAAGAGGAAGTTTGATKTTGTTTATTTGAAAAGAAACTTAAATGCAATTAGTTCTTTGTTTTGTTGACGTAAATTGCAAATCTATCGATGATTTCCCATGAACAGTAGGCGACGAATCATAGTAATATAAAGAGTATAATTCCTTTTTCGCTGAAATAATTAGTAATAAAAAACGCCTTGCACGAAAGACATACATTCCATTTTAAAAATATCCCAAACTTGAAAGTACTTTGCTTATTGAGTTACCAAGTACTTAAGGGGAAATTGAATGAGAAGTGCTGAGAGRTGTTGAGGAGAACTCGTCTATGTGCGTCAATGGTGTTTATAGCTTTAAAACWCGTCGTCTCGCATCTTAAATCAATAAATGAAAGGAAATTAAAAGAGATCATCTTTTTTAATTATATCATGAAATTTCAAACAAAATTAAATCTGCTTAACAGAGCATTGACAGACAAATGAGCGATCGTGATATMCATATTCATAGGTCGGTTGTTGGCGGATATACGAGGGTGAACGGTCTACTTACTTAATTGCCCTTAGTCAATATCAAGAGTACAAACACACGCAACTCTTGGAGTGCCTTTGACGAGTTTTGTACAAATCGGAGCGAAAAGAGGTCGATTTGAACGCGATGAGAGGATAAACAATACATTACACAAGGTAATTGTCATATTAAATTGAAAAACTAGATTTCTGTAAACAATCTCTTGATGATAATACTCGCACAGACTCATTTCCTTTCTTTTCTCATTAAAAAAGGACGACGAGATTGTAAAAAAACGTAAAAAAACCGAGTCTTTATGATTAGAGATTTGCAATTTGAAGGCAACATGAGTGAAGAATTAAGGTACAAGAAATAATGACATCCTACTCGCAGCCGGAACCCATCTAATTTCATTTTGACAACGAAGGATCGTCATTATTTTTCACGAACTTGGAGAGTAATCATTAATTTTGACTTTTCCTAACGCAAATAACAAACACAATTTGTTGGTTTTCATGATAAGCAAACAACATTAACAGCACTATTATTTTAACGAACGAATCATACAATGTCTTCTACTCCATTTAATCAACTGAAAACCTATTATTATAAAAGCATTTTTTGTAACTGCATATATTTTTTTTGCGATATTCTGAGAGACAAACGTATTTGCAAGGAGGTGATGTTTCTTTAATTGGCTCATTTCTGCGTTACTAACTTAAAGAAAACAWACTCGTTCGAGAGGAAATCATCAAATGTTAATGACACTGGTATTTTTCCAGATATTTCTCTTTTTCTTAAGGCAATGATTACAAAAGTAATCGAATTTCACGGTACAAGTTCTTGATGCAATTAAAAGAGGTTGGGTTGCAAATTACGGCAAATCAGTGTTACTAGAAGAACAAAAGCTTTTTAGGTCTGCTAACACTGTCTGAGGAGTGTTGTCTTGTATGGCGCAGCAGACATAAGTTTGATGAGCTACTTTAAACCTACTCTCGTTTTAGGAGTATGTTTCATGGTAAAACAGAGTTTTATTTGTTTTCATTTATTATGTTCAAAGGCTGTAGAGTTCATGTGGTGAATGACAATTTAAAAACTTCTTCCCATAGCGGAGTTGTTTATGAAGTAAATAATCAATGTCTGCCCTTCSACCYACAGGCCAAAGAACTAGCCGATAAATAGACCCTGAATTTGATGGTGTTAAAATCACTTAAAACCATAMAAAATCGAATTCTCGTAAGATACATAAATGTAAATATAATTGGAATGATCTTTACAGTCGCTACTGGAATGAGATAGATCACGAAATAATTGATATGGGTTTTAGCTAAAGGAAGTTACAACGATCTTTCTAGAAAAAAATAAGGAAGTTTMATCCTAAGATTGAAAAAACACTTCCAGTTATTGTTTTCCGTGTTGTATAATTGCAGAATAAACCAAGCAAAGGYTTAGAGTAATGAGAATAAATAACGTTTTCTGGTTTAAATGAACGATCCATAATCAGTTAGTAGCATCTCGTGTATCTACAATCCAATATGGCCGCCGTGTCGTGATGAAAAGGAGATCAGAACAATTAATAGCCTTTTTCTAGAATCATCATGAACAATTTAGTTTTATGACAATATACTTTAAGAGCATTCAGATGTCGTGTCCAAGATGGCCAACMACGATTAGAAGTGAATAATAGAGTCGCGACATGACATATTATTTTTGTTCGTGATCTCATTTTTGAGCCAATATTTTATTTTGGCTCTTGATCTCAAATTCCTTTTCAAATTCGATTCCTGATCTCCTGAAAATGGGATGATTCTGTATAGCTGATCACCACACCTGTGATCTCAATCTGAAAGTTAAAATACTGACCCMTGATCCKAAAATAAGACAGAACTACGACGCTAAWAATACCCTAAAAATGTTCATGATTTCTTCCTTGATTTTCATCATTTTCTGCTGAAACTGTAACTATATTTTCTAATATCATTTATGCAATTATTCCTGCAAGGCAATGTTATTAGTCCATGTTTATATTATTACATTACCTACTCTCTTTACCTACCTCTTTACCTTCACTCTTTCTTGTGGAGATGAGAGCGGTCATGTGTAAAATCCTTATAACTWAAACTATGATATCAAGTAAGAAAGAAAACGTCTGTGACAAAGAGCAATCTTTATGCATTCTTTTTGAAATGTTTCGTTTTTATTACTTAGAGAAAGTGTGAAAAGTTATCGCAGATCGCGTTAGCTAGTGAAGTTAATATAGTACATTATGACACAAACATTTGGAGATGATTTTTTTCTTTTGCTTTTTACTCAAGTGGTTTCTGTGTGTTTAAATGTTTAAAATCTTTTTCTCAGTGTGAGCAGATGCTAAGGGTCAAGTTTAAGTATTAAACCTTTAATTGGCCTATACTAGCACACTTAACAGCTGAAAACAGTCCCACACTGTTAACTAACGCAGAGTTAGCACCCCTTCACTAACTCGCACATACTACCTATCGACTCGCACACACTCCTATCGACTCGCACATACTCCTATCGAACGATTCACCGAAATTAACCTTTGAACAAAATATCAAACTACAGTCGATTTTTGACATCATAAAAAAGTTACATTCATTTTTCGATATTAAAAACTTAATGAGGGTTTAAGAAGCCGAAATTCATTAACATYGTCAATAACGCAGAGAGTTGGTTGTTAATTGGAGGTGTTCAAAAGTTTGTAAAGTATTAGTCACAGCCTATAGTATCTAGTTACTTCTAAATGAAAACGTGCTTATTMTTTAATCATTCTAACAATACGGCGGTTTTTTATTAGAATTTTGGCYTATGAATAAATCATAGAGTATGACTTACTTCAGGTAGTGATTGGGGGACTAGTTGCCTCGTGTGCAACACTCTTTRATAAACTACTGGGAAGGATTATATTCTCATTTAAACTCACTTATCAACTATTGATAAATATTGTTGCCAAAGGAAGGCTGGAAAAACCGACCTTTGCGTAGCGTTAAAAGAATGCGATAAATCAACAAGGCAAAGTTAATAACAACAATTTTTGTGATTTAAGCGATTACAGGGTGATTATTGCCTGAAGTAGAACTTGATTCGTTGATGAAGTCTGCTTCATAGCTACCGACAAAGTAATYTAAACTGCTGGAGATGTTTCCACCCCGAGGTGCTCCAAATTACTGGGTGTATAGAAGCCTTAATACCGTCTTTGCCAGCACGCYRCTAGCCTTCTTTTCWTCAAAATCATGATTTTAATTGACACAGTTTAACAGTTAGCAAAGCTAGTATAAACAAAAGCTATTTAAATAACTATCTCCATATAATTGTCCCTCAGACTGTTACAGTCACTRAACCGAGTACATTGACTTCTAGAAGACGTGATCGGATCAGTTTGACAGCGAGCCTTCTGGAAGTCTTGATCAACCGGTGAGTACTGCGTTATCATCTATTGAAACCATTTCAAAGCAGCACAATTGAAAGATTCGATTAGCATTTTCCTACATTAACGTTGGCTGTTTGACGAGTATATTACGAGTATATTGAAGTAGAGATAGCCATCCAATAGTAGGACGTCGTGTACCTGTTCGTCTATGAGGCTCTTAGTTTATAAATGACAGGTTTACATGTTATAACTCGTACTAAAACAACACACAACAATGATAGCATCACTTGAGCCGCACAACGATCATTAAAATACTACAAGACAAGTAAATGCTGTCATTATGGCGAGTTACAACTGAACGGAAATGGCTCATTTATCTGATCAGACCTCGCAGTGACGATAGTACGAAAGAAAATTTACATGTATGTAGGATGAAATATCTGACATCTCGAACGTCATGAAAGCTTGYAGAGAAGGTAAATCTGCCGTGGAAAACCGTAGAGTAATTCTGTAGTGCACGACGCAACATCATCATTGTTAAGTAAACATTTTTTGGGAAAAAAGGCAAGTTTTGTAAAATTCATGTTTTGGTTTGTATGAACGCAAAACTGTGGCATTGTAAGATTTGGAATACTGCTGTAGAAAAGACACGACGAGTCAGACGCATTATGAGTAAAAGTATTTATAGATAAACAGAAGTTCTGGTAGTAAAATCAAGTTATTTTTTTGTGTTTTCATGGAGCATTAAAAAAAAACTACTTTTATTATATTGAAAATATTAAGAAACGAATCACGACACGTATTAGCTACAGGCCTGCTGGTCAGTAGAGTCAAATATTAGCTATGTTATGGAAACATACGTAACAATATTCATTCTCTCAAATACTTTCTAATGTTATTTTTAGGGTTAGTTTAATTAAAAGGACTAGGGCTCCCAGCAGTCTYTATGGGTTTCATACCTTCGTTTGGGCTTTTTCTTGAGTAAACGTTTAAAACATGAATGCACCTGTAGCGACAGTTATTGWAGCGTACAGGTTYAACCAATGTCTGYAWTAAGACATGAAAATAGTTGAGAAACGATTTACTTTACAATGAGGGATCAGTTATTATTCCTCTCTGCGGGAAACTCTTGCTGTACTATTTGTTTTCTTTTAACAGAAGCTAGCTTCTTGATTAAGAAAAAAAACTAAAAAAATATTTTATTGTTTTGTGTCAAATCATTAAATCAGTGATAGTAGCTGACTTGGCATATCTTACAGGATTGTCTCTAAAAATAAATGATTTATTGTATATCARAACTGAGATTCGAATATGAGTGCAAACATGACTTACACGGATAATTCCGGAACATGACACGTATAACACCAACATTATTACAATARCGCAATCCTGATTAACTTAAAATTGTGTGTTTTGAAAAGAGTGTTTGCTTTCCTATACTGATGCAAAGCCAATATTAGGATGTTTGCTGTAGTGGTACTATACTATCATGACGTCTGTAAAAACTCATTAGTTTAAGATTTGATCATGTCCTATATATCATCATATGGTTAGATATTTGGACGGGGATTTCTACTACAAACACGGATTTACTCAATTAGTGTCAAAGGAAACGAATTAATTTTCAATCCGTCGAGCCACAGACAAGTACACCATAYATTATTACGTACCGTAAYTCTCAAGGCGGGAACGGTCTTTCTGTTTGTTTAATGGATCATGTGATTTTCATTGGCCSTGCGTAGCTAATTGACAATTTCAACCACATCTTTTACTTATGAATGCRAGCGGCCTTGGACATGATTTATTCGCTGCTTAAGATCGACGGAATGTAGAGTAAGAATATATCGTGTTTATTACGGTAAGAGATATTATTATAGTACTTATATCAAATCTTCACGGATATCATAAATCAGAGACTACTTCACATACTTTACGGCAATCTATGTATACATACGGTTTACATATAATCTCTAATAGCGTATTTGTAAAGCTACTTTATACAAGTTATTGTTTTTAGACATTCCGTGCTTCAATTTCGAGTTTTGTGTAAACAGATGTTTTTGAAAATAGATCGAGTGTGCACCCAGGAGAGAGGGGGTTAACATGAAYACATCAACCTTGCACGGACAAAATTAGTATATAATGATATCAATACAAGCAGTGCTATCYTATACCAATATATATTTGTCGATCAAATGGCAGTAAMTTTATAATGTCGCTACGGTGTTTGGTAAAGTATGTTGTCTAATAGCCACGCTTAAATGAATGAATGATTAAGCGGTTTACTGGCCGAYAGTCGGAAATACACCTGATAAATATTGCACTTTTTATATCAAACACAAGGATTTGGYTCGAAAACAATATTATCATCAGATAGTTAGAAATATTTATATACCCTTGTATTGAATAAGTAAAAGGTTACAATCATTTACCTTATTTGTCATACTGTCAGCTGATTTGCATATATAACATGCAATTTCTTAGAGGAATTAAGAAAAAATCAATTAAAAAAACAGGGGAAAAAAAATGAAACAAGAAAAAAAAAAAAAACGCGTTGCAACAATTCCATTTATCATTTGATTTTATCGTATTTCATTCTGCCTACTTTTATTTTGTTTTTTTTTGATGCCATCTTTATTCATTTTTAGTTATTTTTAAACGTTATCACGGTTTTTGTCTTATAAGTAATATTAGTTGTTTGCCAAAATAAAACATTTGGCGGRGGTTGGTTTGTTATCGAGGCTATTTTGGTGTGTGATTATTCTGCATAATATCATTTGGAGTGGTGATATTTTAGGTGCATTCTTTATTAACGGTCTCTCAACTTATGCATATTTCATTAAGACCGAGTTCTCTCACCATTATGACTGCGCCAGGTAAAACAAATTTCAGCACCTGTTACGATGTCCTAAAACAGTTMATATGAATATATAGTGTATATGTGACCGTTCTCCGTTCTGGGAAAGCCGAGATAAATTTACGAAAATGCCAAAAACTTGAGCAACGAAAAAAAGAGGAAAATGAGAAATAAATGAACAAAAGCATAGCCAAAAGAACGAAAAAAARTGACTGACTTTAATTAAGGATATATAATTAATACAAGGTACGCAAGGAGACCAAGTCTGGGCCAGGCAGGTAATAGAATATATAACTAGCTTGGGAATTACGTATACAATGATACCTGTACATTCACTGGATTGTAATGAAAAAAATATCGAATCCTATTCGTTTAAATTATAGAATTAGTAATCACTAAAAATCAATCAACAATAATAAAAAAAAATCAATTGGAAGTGGATATATGGTAGAATAAACATAAATCATACATTATAGTAGATAAATTATAGCCAAACTAAGGGAAAAACAGGATAAATAAATAGTCTATTAATCCTGTTTCCTCAAACTGTGCCATTTATTTACATATGTTATGAAATTGTTTGAACATGCTTTAATGTGGCTGTTCCATCATGAATGACTTCGGTTGAATAAAATTCATCATCGATTTCCTTTTATCAGGTGAGACGATAAATTGTCCACAACAACACTTTGTTATCAATTTAATAGGATTTTTTCAGCCTGATAAATAAACTAAATCGAATGAAAGAATCAACTTGTTTTTCATTTGGTAATCCTAAGAAGCAATCCAAGGGTGCTCAATGGACCCTCATTGCAGTAATAACCAACGCTGTCTTTCTTAAACGTCGAAATTTCTACAAATTGTAAATATGCATGATGATATRATCGTTGTTTTCCGTTCTTTGAAATAATATATAAGGCTTGAATGGTGCCCCTGGGCATCAGTAGTCAAATTGTATCCTCGCCGTGTCACATAAACCATAGTGAGGTGTGGGATATCATAAAGCTGACACCATTCGATCGCACGTGGTAGGTGAATTTAGAACGTTTGATCGTTTGGAATAATGTTCATGATACAATAGAATTTTAGATCAAGGGCTAGGAAATGAGGTTTCGTACTTACCGCACTAACTGCAGGTACAACCGGACCGATCACCATAGTTTTTTTTATAGTTAATGGAYTTAAAAACAAAAACTTCGAAGGTTTTTTTTCATGTTCTTCAGTTGAGCGTCTTACTAAAATACTAGGACTATTAAATGAATCTCAGCAAGAGAGGTTCACTTAAGATGTACCTATGGCCGCCACTCGTTAGTCTCTAGTTAAGTACGGAAAGCTAATAATACAATRATGAGAATTCCCTGCCGAGAGAAAGAGGAATTACGGTGTGTACCGGCAGAGAAAATAATTACCAACTAAATACTGTTATATGAAACTAGTTTCGTCGTTTGTCGAGGCGTTAAGAGCAGATATCTACTTGAGAAGCTCGTATATACAGTATTTTAGACGAATTAGAATCACTTAGCGAATACAAATTAAGCTCAAGGAACATTATTGCATCTCCAAGCATCTCCGCTGGAACTGTAGATAAGTAACAATGCTGAAATACTAATTGCTCGTCGTTAATGAAACGTAAAATACAAACTCTTAGCCTAAACGCGACACATTCAGTGTTTATTACATTAGAGGAATTTTGACCTTGAAAATGTAGTAAATGTTCGCTAAGTGAGTCTAAGATAAGGTCATCAACGCTGTTTTGGACCTGTTTTAGGTTGTGAGGTGAGTTGTTATCTATTTTTCCAGCTGCTTGACCATCGCAAGGTTAACCATTTCACAAAATGGTCAACAAAATAACATTAACTCCACAGATCATGTGTTTATAGAGGTTTTGTGCCAGTCGTGTCAAAAGCTCAGAAATCACACGCTTCTTTTTAGAATATCTGGCTCGTGAATCACCCTCGGGCAAGGATCACCCTCGAGCAAGCCGCATTAGGGAGAGTCATTTGAATAACCAACACTTATGTACAAAACTCTTTTTTTTGTTGAAGTGTTTCTCTCATCATTTTTTTTGGATATGTGTATAGCTTTAACTAACCATATTCAGTCTAGATGATACAATAGGAATTGATAAATACTTTTCAACGATTGATTGGACATATAGGTTGACTGATGTTTCTAAATAGAGTAAGGTATTGTGTAAATAATTCGTATCTAAAACATCAATAAGAAAACACATGAATTGTCAATGATACTCTGAAATCCAAGCAGAGAAAAGCATCGTGTTAATAGATTGGTATTTAATACATGTATGAAAAAAGTGTGTACTTTGATATCGCCAATTCAGGCCCTGTGAGAGCACAGAAAGAGAGCAAACAAGAGAGAGAAGGAGGTCTTGTGTCAATAAGTTGCTATCAAAAGTGSTTTGCAGACAGGATGCACTCGGAATCAGTTGCGCGGCGAGATTACTGAACAGGGTTTTGAACGGTTAGAAATCAGTACGTGTTTGRTTGCTAAATTCCTGTGAAAAGAGCGCGAATCTGTGAATCAGGTAGAAATCTAAGCAGAAAGAAGTATTTTTATTGAGGTTTGTATTRTTTTTATGTTAAAGAATTYGAGTRTGGAAAAGTGTACGTTTAAGACAGGTCTTGTGTATGAATATGTTCAACTAACGAAAAAGACGTATCTCAGTATTCTGTAGAATACTGACACGTCGGCGAAGGTGCTGGGAGCGAAAGGGGTTCATGGGAAGTAGGGTTATGTACAATAATAACATTATTAGCCAACTATTGAATTACTTCAAAGTAATTTTTATCTRACTGCAAAAATAGTTCTTATAAATAATGTATGGCCTAGTTGTGGAATATCCCCTGATGTAACTTATCGGCTAGCACGTTGACGATTGTTCAAGATTGAGCGTACAAAGGTGATTTTATTTCAATTAGCTCTGTTTTGGCAAACATTGACAGTATGTGGCATATTCAGAGCTTTGAGATAGTGTTTCTTTTTGGCYGATAAAGAATGTCGGCTCAATTTAATCCTTTTTTTGTTTTTGTTTTTCTKTACAAGGTTCCAATAGGTATTAAAATGATAGGACAATTATCAATCTTAACRCGAAATTAAACATTTTAAGATAAGAAACCACAAATTCACATTTATACCTTAAATTAGACTTTTTTTTTTGGATTTGGAGTATAGCTAAAAGACTTCTTAGCAATTTTTTTTAGTCTTTTTTAGTTTTGTTATCTTTTTCGTCCCTTTGATGTATTTTGCTTGTGTATGTATGCCACAGGCATTTGTCCAAAAACAAAGCGCTTGTACTTCAATATGGAAGCTCGGTGGAATACTCTTTCATAACTTGATAACATAAACTAACCTAAAGCACACTTATTGACGTTTTTACAGCATTAGTATCATTAAAATATCAATGTTAAAAGTAAACATACATATACAAACCTTACAACATGAAACAATAAAAAAAAAAAAACAGATCCCCAGTCATATTGGCAAAAGATCTTTAGACTTAAAACAAGGAAAGTCTTAAACAGACATTAAAATGTCGGCCAATTCCATGAGATCTAAAAGGCATCAATAATGAGAGACTTTAGCGGTCGTGTTTGATGTATACAGCATGATTCCTAATGCTGATATAATGACTACATTGATTATTTAATAAGTTTTTTTACCCCCTGTCATTGAGTATGACAAGTAGTTCAATAGTGCTAGTGATACAGCATATCTGAACAGTCTTTGCCCCCTGAGTATGACAAGTGGTTCGAGATCATTAATAATAAGAAGGGCTCACCTTGGCTTAAGATCATGTAGATACTTTCTAGGGGTTATTTTRGATTCAAAATTGTGAGTTATCCGCCACTTTGATTCAATTATTCACCAAAACTCATTTATAACGAAATGTATGCCTTGCAGCAATGAAATATTCTAACTCTAAACATGGTTAACTAGTCTAGACTCACTACAGGAACAAATGCTGCAAAAAAACCCTTTTCTGTATAAGATGAACTCCATTAGAGTCTATTAGGACATTATCTACTATAACATTGACAATTATTCCTGTCTCATTTTGTTTGATAACTGATTAATACTTCGCCTTGATTAATCTTTTTTGTGGAAACATCTCCATCTAACTTTTATAGCAAACTTTAGTCCAAATGCAATATTTTCCTTCTAGAATCACCATGGGAAAAACACAACTGATTAATCTTTACTTGGTTTTTGATCAAAAACGTGCGATGTGATCGATTAGTGATAAGAACACTATTAACGATTAATTGTATCAAAAAAACACAACAATCCTTGTGAATAGCTCGGTCAAAACTGTTGTTATTTAAGTACTGATTATAACTGACACGTTGTATATAAACTCACTAATACAGGCACTAACAAGTAAACATGTTATGTTTATACAAGATGGAATCAGCTTAACTGCTGCAGGGCAAACTTTATATATAATCTTTGTGGTATTAATGTAGCGGCATGGTGGTGTTTCATAAGCCCACATATCACGTGACCTGAATTCATTTAAAAGTACTCTGTTTTAACGTATTCTGGGTTTCATGAAACGCAGACCAGCAAGACACCATACTAGGTAAATAACTCTTAAAGTTAAACTGTATTTAGCAGCGTAACACCATACTAGGTAAATAACTCTTAAGTTAAACTGTATTCAGCAGCGTTTAGGTATTTTCTGGAAATAGTTAAAGTGTCTATGTGCATGTTGTTTGCCTCGTCTTTTTCACAAACAAATAGATTTTAATACTGAACTGGTGTGAAAAAACGCCTGGAAGATGCCCAATGTATAGGGGTTTACGAATAGTCATTTGAAATTATTATAACTGAGTGGTTGTAGTCACTCAATTATTCACTGTTTTTCTGTTTTTATTCGCATCATAACTAATCTAGGAAAGGTCCGAGTCTATTATATAAATATTTGTTATCCAATATCGATATCAACGAGAGATTTAATTTTCTTTCATAAAATGAAATGTCTACGAACAGGTCACACCCTTATTGAAATCGTCAACTAGAAACAAAGAGTATTTTTTTATTGTTAATGCTTGACATTGCTTTGAAGTATGATTTTTAATGCAATATTTTTTTTATACTGTAAAACGATCTCAGACAAACAAGTGAATTGATACAAGTTGAGTTCAGCCTTCTGATTGGCTACTGAAATATGGTCAATCCCTGTCATAGCATGGTTACATCGAGTGAGGCATTGATTGTCGAAAAAATGTCTTTTTTTCTTTCTGTTCTTTTGTCTGACTTGTCATCAAACTGTTGGTCTAGTTGTTMARTACCACACCAATGTAACATGCCTATGACACATTCTACTTTGTCTATAATACATTGTGTCTACAACACATTGTACTGCAATGTCATATACTGTCCTGAGGCATTCTTGATTGTCGAAAAAATGTCTTTTTTTCTTTCGATTTGTCATCAAACTGTTGGTCTAGTTGTTCAGTACCACACCAATGTAACATGCCTATGACATATTCTATTTTGTCTATAATTGTGTCTACAATACATTGTACTGCAATGTCATATACTGTCCTGGCTGATATAATTATCGATAGTTTTTTCTTATTAATTGTTATTCATCTAGAGAAAGACGAGTGAGTCCTATAAGTACTCGTTTCGTAATGACGTAACAACCGTGAGTAGAGACTTCCTTCCCCTGTACTTCTCCGCTTCACATCTCGAGGGGGAGGAAGGATATTTTTACTCACACAACCAGCAGGTAGGAAAACAATGCAAYACAGAATACTACTAAAAATAGACGGACTCTAGGATGTTTATATTTATTGTCTATCCATTGAGACCAAACTGTGAAAAACAACTCACTCTGAACAGATGTGTAGGTTTTGTTCCAACAAGAATTGGCGTTGTTTCTAATTGCTACAAATAAGTCAAAACATCTTTATTACAATGTAAATTTTTGATTTCTTTTGATTAAAATCACAGCGTAAGTAGATATTTAGGCAAAGCAACGTTATTACAGTGTGGTTATTGATTGTCAAACTGTTTTGTATTCAATTCATGGTACATTAAGACTAAACATTCACAGACACTTGTCGATGTAGTCTCAGCACTCTCTTCAATTTATTGAGCTGTTGTTGTCTTTAAACCACCGTGATATACAATTGTTACTYCTCACCGAGGCAAACGCTGTCACAMATAATGTTGAAGTCTTTTAATTTTAATTAATTGATGTGCGAAACTTTAATATTCAACCAGAGAACTGGTAGACTCTCTTATTTTTCAAATCGTTTTTTTTAGACTTAGAATCGCGTGAAATAACCGAGATAATCTCATAGATCTTAAGCATGTACTTTTCCGGTGTGTGCTGAACGATATTTTATTAAAACGCAACTCAATAAAAGCTTTATTATGTTATTTGCGTAGCACGATGTTCATTAGTACAAGGCCGATCCAGGAGAGCTATATTAAAAACCTCYGTGGGCTGTGCCTCATAATATAAATATAAAATGAATGATGCCTTGTAACATTCTATAAGCTTGAATACGTACGGGAACATCAAACCCAAAAACCGCGMATTTTCTTGTAAATTYCAAGTCCACTTGACGATGATGAAAGTCGACTTTCTGTTCACTCTAGACGTCTAGCAGTGAAGTTAGCATTTATGAAATACCCCACTGTACGTACAAAGGCGTACCAAGCAATCATTTCTTTGYATGGTGTAGTTTATAAATACTTCACACGYAAACTAAATTGACTTTACAAGTATTCTGCACATATTTTAGGTTTATTTCAAAACCAACTTTTGTGAAATGGTTGAGTTGAAAGCAAAATAATTTTAATATTTAAATGATAATTTTAACTTTTATTTTTTATTGTGGCCACTAATTAATCTAAACTATAAATGGTTTATTTTCAAAGCAATTAAGCCTTTGTCATAATTAAGTGGTTGTCAGTCTATGTCCACAATTTCATCGACAATGAAAAGATAGCGTTTCAAGGCGTCAAATATAAATCAAACAGCGACAATCAATAAGAAGAGCATGTTTTGCATTTTGTTTTGAATTTACAACCCGGACAGAGAATAACAACAAAACAAGATTTATAAGAATTGCTACAGTTATTCTAAAGGAAAATAGCATTTTAGCGTCGATGGATTCTTTTGCACTTCAAAGCACGAAGCAAAAACGAATACTGGGAAAGTAATGGTGTATAATAGTAATATTCTTGGGTGTAGACACTGCTTCATTTATTAATTGGCTGGTGGGTCGGTGTACACTGCACGACGCTACCACAATATCGTCACAAGCTAATTGGTTATCACGCTACCACATAAAACAACATATTCCTACTAGTACCACAAAGTCTCTCTTCACGGTACATCTGTGATATTATATTAGTAGTGTTGTCAAACACACTACACACGGCGTGAGAAAACGGTCAGAGGTAACACCGCAGATATACTACTCAMRGCTKACAATTCACGTCTAGAAAGGTAACAATCCTTTTTTTTCATGTCCTGGATAATCTTCACGGGTTTAGTACTTCATTGACTAAAAGATAAACAGCCATAGAGTATTATTAGACCTCACAGTATATTTTCTGAATTACAACTTCAAGGTTTTTAGAATTCCTATAGTGACTAAACTAATTATGTGAAAATACAGAGGGTAGAAGAATTCAAAAATCGATTTTTTTGCCGTCAATGGAGTAACATTATTTATTACAGCAAAGCATCATTATGAGTTTCGACTGTTTTTGATTCTCAATAGCCTCAGTAGTCCATCACAGCACGGCTGGACACCTTCCGAGTGAAATCAAATTTATTTTYCTTGAAGAAAACGATGAAAATAAATAAATTCCAAGCAAGTTAATATGTATGCGTTAGACTATCAAGCCAGTGTTTAACTGCATCACAGCAAATCATTATAATCGTGGTCAATATTAATAAATTTTTATAAAAGACATTTTGTTGGTATGCTTCTATAAAAAGCACCAGATATATTTATAGTTATTAATGAATATTAATGAAAACTAGAATCAT